AAATAATTTAAAATATTGTATCGGCTGTTCGATGTTTGTAGGAACTTGTGGTCCAACGACCTGTGGCAATACGCTAAAAGGTATTCTATCTGGAATATGTAATTCTTCCGTAACATCGCGCCATTCGTCCAAGTCTTGCAACGAATCTTCGCTTTCGCTTTCAATAATTCTCATTCTCCGTCTCTTTGGTAGTATAATTTCGCTACTACTACTCGAAGCGTCAGAATCATAACCAACATTGTCTTCCACAATGTCTTTCAACTCTTCAAAATCAAATACGTCTTCGGTATCGCTCGACTCTAAATTCTCATCGTAATATTTATTTTTCTCCATGTTGCTAACCATAGAAAAGGTCGAAAAATGGTTTAATCGTAATGGTACAGACTCAGCACGTTTTAACTACAGATAACAATTGCTAACGCCGACGATAACGTATGCTAAAAACATTTTGCTCCGCAGCGGATCCTTCGGATTTACGGAACAAATGACAAATGTCTCCGTAGCGGAGCCTTCGGAGCGCCAAGGGTTAAAATATTCTCGGTGGACGTATTCCGAATAATTTTCAGAAATGGTAAATCTTGAAACGGAAACTTGACTTTCGAGGAAAAGCAGAGAACTCTGCGAGCGGCGGCAATGCGTGGCTAAATGTAGTCAGAGATAAGCAAAGGTAGGCTAAGAGCTGGTGAAGGTAGCTAAAGATAGCGAAGGACATCCGAAGTGGGTACAATTAGCAAACGGTAGTTAAAAGTAGCTAAGGACACCGAATCGCGGGCGAAAGTAGCAAAGGCTGGCTAAAAATAGCGAAGGGCATCCAAAGGTAGATCAAACTGACCAACGGGTAGCTGAAAATAGGTAAAGATCGCCTGATTCGAGTCAAAGTAGTCTACCCGATGCCCAGCAAAGCATAATGGAACCGATCTCTATCGCCGTGAGCGATAACGCTGCGAGTGGAGTGTCTCCGCTGTTCTTTAGAACTCTGACGTTTCAAATTATTCATATACCGAGACACTAAAAATTATTCGAAGAAACTTCGGAAGTTTCGCGATCTAATCGCGAAACGAAAGATAACCGTATGAAACGCGTTAAAAAGAGCAGAATAAGAACGAAATAACGGATAAAATTATCCAGAACTGGATAGCGAATATCGTCCAACGAATAGTGTCCATGTTGTTTTACAACGGCGCGGTATTCGAGAGACAACGTACCAGGGTAAGTGTGCCAATTACTGTGCCACCCACTGGTTGTAAGCTTGCCATTGACCGCGCTTGTCCAGGGTCAGATACAAATAAGAAATGATGAACGATAAATAACGATTGGAGTTTCAGTAATTACTCCCGGAAATGCCGAATTTTGGGTCGCTGCGAACTTCCCTGTGCTAGTCCTGCGCCTGTGTAATTTATTGCTACGTCGATGCTAAGGGTCGTCGGAGTCGGTCGAGCGTGTGATGCGACACGCGACACGAATTCCCGGAAGACGACACAAAATGGTCTGTTTGGGGGGTGAGTCGGTTAAGAAAAACCGCGGTGCTACAAGGTACGTGGTAGGTACAGTGATTTCTCCCTAATTCGCGCTCAGATTGCGCGCGATTATTCGAGCCTTGCGACTCGTTTTTATAGTTACCGACTGTCGACAACTATGAAAACGGGACGCGAGGCTCGAATAATCGAATCTCCACTTCCTAAATTGTCTATTTTTGTGCGCGATCTGAGCGCGAATTAGGGAGAAATTACTGTAGTAGGTACGTGACCGTCGAATCATGGCATATAGCCTCCGAATTCCCTTCGAATCGTGACACGTGGTCTCCGAATTGTCTTCGAATAGTAGCACGTGGCCTCTGAATTGCCTTCGAATCGTGGCACGTAGCTTTCGAATGGGCTTCGAATCGTGTCAAGTGGCCTCCGAATTACCTTCAAATCGTGGCAAAAAATTAGAAATAAACAAGTTAAGTCATCGTTTTTATTCTAACTTTCGAATTTTCTCCGAATCGTGTCATGTGACCTCCGAATTGCCTTCGAGTCGTGTCACATGGCCTCCGAATTGTCTTCGAATAATGGCGCGTGGCTTCTGAATTGCCTTTGAATCGTGTCACGTGGCCTCCGAATTGCCTTCAAATCGTGGCAAAAGATTAGAAATAATAGAAGTTAAGTTTTCCACTGCCTTTTTTTACCGACTTCCCCGAGTTTCTATAAAAACGCACCGCGAGCCCCGAAGAATCGCGACTTAGTATTCTCGGATTTGCCGGTTTCAATTCCAATATCCGATCGTTTCTGAGTGAAATTACTCTATTAAAAACGAATAACCGAAATATCAAATAACCGAGTAACAATTAATGCAATTAATTCGTCCGCTTTCATCGGAGCACAACTTCGCTCGAACGATCTCCAACGCCGATCTCAAAACGACGGCCAGTGAATCGTCGCAACGGCGATTTCTCCCAAAAGCACTCGCTACAAATTGCGTAACAGGCTGAAGGAGAAGCCTCCCAACGTGGCCGCGGTGCAAGAAAGACGCGGCGCACTCGCGATCGCCGGTCGGATCGATCGTAGTAATTTCAGTAACCCAACTACCCCGGATAACGTCGAGCACGCGGCGGACCGTTTCGATATTCGCCGGAGCAATTCACACGGGCAAAGTGTTCGCAATCGGTGCTTTTTTCCGTAGCGCGAGGCTTGCGGGGGTTGCGCGGGGAGCGGTGTGGCGTATCTCCGCG